TTTCTTGCCCCAAACAATGTAATTGTTCACTCCTCTAAGGAGTCCTGATCCCTTTTAGTGGGAGAATGGTTTTTAGAAACCAAGATCTGGGCATTAGGTATTCTTATTCTACTGAGATGTCATTGCTGCTCTGTTCTTTTAGCAGACAGCTGGGTGTGTGTGTGTGTGTGTTTCAGTGCTGGTCCTGCACCACAGGGTTCTTCCTTTCCTTCCCCCATTCTGTCTTATCTTCCCTCTCTCATGGTGAGTACATTGCCTCCTAGCAACATACTTATTTATTCGATGTTATCTTACACACCAAATTGTTCCACAGTTACTGTACCTGACCACTGCACATAACAAACTTGCTTGGGAGTTCAAGATTTCTTTAATGTTCTTTTTCTTTTAAATGTTTTACTTATTTATTTTTAAAAAGAGGGGAAGGCAAGGAGAAAGAGAGGGAGAGAAACATTGATGTGAGAGAGAAACATCAATTAGTTGCCTCTTGTAAGCACCCCAACTGGGGACTGGACCCACAACCCAGGCATGCGCCCTGACCAGAAATCGAACTTAGACCTGCTCCGCAGAGTGATGCCCAGCCAACTGAGCCACACCAGTCAGGGCTCTTTGACGTTCTTTTTGTCTTTACGTTGAAGATACATGGTCGAAGGACTGTATTGAAAGTTACTTGGATTAGTTTTCTTTCCTCCCTCTGTTCATTTAATTTGTGTTAATTTAATTTTTGAATGTTGAATACATTAACAAGGTTCTGAAAGTTAAAACTATAATATACACACACATATGTCTTTACTCCCTCTTCTTGTCCTTCTATCCCCGTTTCTTATCCACTCCTATAGATAACCAACTTTATTGGTTTTTTGTTTTCCTTTGTCTTTTCTCTTTTCTTTTAAAATATTTATTTATTTTTAGAGAGGGGAAAGGAGGGAGAAAGAGAGGGAGAGAAACATCAGTGTATGTTTGCCTCTTGAGCACCTCCTACTGGGTTCCTGACCCGCAACCCAGGCCTGTGCCCTGACTGGGAATCGAACCAGGGACCCTTTGGTTTGCAGTCTGGCGTTCAGTCCACTGAGCCAGACTGCATCCACTGAGCCAGACTGAGCCACACCATCCAGGGCTATCCTTTGTCTTTTCACAAAAAAATAAGCACATTTGTACAAAGACCTCTTACAGAATGGTGGTATAATTTTTTATACTCTTTTAATTTGCTTTTTTCACTTAATATAGCCTGGAAATACTCCATAGCAGCTCATGGAACTCTCCTTTTTTTCCTTTTTCCCAGCAGCATAGCAAATCATTGTATGGCTGTGCTATGATTTATTCAACCAGTCTTCTTTCACGTTTAGGCATTTAGGCTGTTTCCAGTATTTTACGATTAGAAGTAATTGTTCATTGAACAATTGTGCATATGTATGCCCGTATTGTTAGAAGTGTCTTGTCAGGGTAAATCCCTAAAAACAGTATCACAGGATCAAAGGATGAAAGTGTGTGCACTTTTGTGAGCTGTTGTCCACGTCCCTCTTTTGGGTTGTGCCATTATGCAGTCCAACAAAATTTTATGATTGATAATACAAATATTATTCCTGATTTCTAGGAAACTATATTTTAAAAAGTTAGGCCAGATGATAGGAGTGGGATGGAATTGGAGGTGGTGTAGTGATAAAGTCTTTATAAAAATGGAACTGTTACCAATTTTTTTAAAATCTTACATCTCCTTGAGAAAACATAGCACTGCTAAGTGTCTATTTTATCCGATGGAGAACTTCACCTTTAAGTCTCACAGCATTAGAAACTCCAGGTTTTGGTCCCATAAGCTCTCTTTGAAATGACCTGTTGTTATCAATTGTTAACCTCCTTTGCTTAATGAAAATGTCATCTATGCTTAGTTGTCTCAAATCATTTTCTGAGCAATAGGCTATATTTGCCTAGTTTTTTAAAAAGTTGAGTAGCACAAAACTGATCATGTTCAATTTTTGTGTGTGTGCACGTAGGGCTTCTTGAACTCCTCTGAGCTCTCCGAACTCCCCACGGGGCCCGAGAGAGAAGGCTCTCTCAAGGATCAGCTGGCCTTAGCAATTGGTGAGTGTTTGTGAGGATTCTGGAAGCTGGAAACTAAGCACTGGATCTCTTTGTATCTTTGTATTCCTCCAAACCTAGATCAAGAATTGCACGCTCATGTGCCTGAAAAGGTTATAATGTGAGTGCGCTCCATGGGTTGTGTGTGAGATGTCGGGGAGCCATGGGGCCCTGACAGGCCCTGGCTCTGCTGAAAGGAGCCATCACTAAGCTCTCACCAGTTGTTACCCTGCAGGGAATGGGGTTCCCATGTTGGCAGAACTTTAATGTGTCTTTAAAAAAATTTAGATCTGTGGACAAAAATCTCAGTTTTTAGCAGTTTGCAACTAATTGAAATTATTTCCACGCTTGGCATGCATTACTATGCTGACCAGACAAAGCATGTCTAGGCAGCGATGCCTTGTGACTTCTAGTTGACTACTTCTCTCTACGCTATAGGGAAACATTTCACCTTCTTCATCATTTTTGGGAACTTGGTCTTTTTTAAAAAAACATCTGATCCTGAACTTGTGAAGGCACAGTCTTTCAGAGCCCGCTGGCTGTGGGAGCCATGCCAGGGTCTCTGTGGTGGGATTCGTGGGGGTTGTGCCTTCTTCCCAGGTGCCTTCGATGGAGTGGGGGAGGGGAGGCTGGGGTTTGAGATTGCTGGGAATGTGTTGCTCATCTGATATTTCCAGTCAAGGCATACGTTTTTATCAAGTCGTCCTGAAGTATGTATAATGTCTCAGTGAGTCATAGATAGGAAACCAGGCAGACAGCTGGGTATGGGGCTTATGAAGAAATTTTGGAAGAACTGGGTATTTCAGCCTTGTCAATTTCTGGGAATTAACTGTTGGGTAGATGCTTTGAGCTGTTGTAAGATTCTTTCTGGTTTCTGGATTCTCCCCTTTTGTGACTTTTAGATGTAAATTATGGCCAATTCAGGGACATTTATCCAGACCCCTTTGTTTATTCTCCTACCCCTTCCAACTTTTTGGCTTATTTCTACTTCTTTTAGCGGGTATAGCATTCTGAGAGAAAGGGGAAACTGTAATCTATTTTTGGTTCTCATAAGCACCTCTGAAAATGCCTTTTTTTCTTTCTTTTTCTTTTTCTTTTTTTTTTTTTTAATGAGAGGAAGTTAAAACTGTCAGATGACACAGGGTTTCGGATTTTCTGGGGCTTTTAGTTGTGGACTTTTCCCTGATACAGTGGGTGGTCAGGAGATGTCTGTGTCAGTTATGGCAACATTTGGGAGGAATGGTAATTCGGTGGGGGAAAAATATGTAATTGCTTTGGAGAGCCAAATTTTAATTCCCGCTGTGCCAGGTATTAGCAATGTAACCTGTACTGGTAGGTTATTAAGCTGTCTAAGCCTAAGTTTAATGACAGTAGCCAGCATTTGAGTGTTCACTGTGAGCCAAATACTGTAATATGCTTTTATATATATTGTTTATTTCTCCCAGTAATCCTGCTTTCAGGTTATTTGAAGTGGCATCATTTCCTTTTTACCAATGAAGACTCTAAGACTTGATAAATTAGTAAATGAGGTTATGTCATTAAGTCACTTGCCTAAGGCCACACAGCTGGTAAGAGGCAGAAGGGAGACCCGAGCCCAGGGTCTGGGTGGCATTATAGCCCATGTGGTTAAATGGAGCGTGCCTGGCACCGAGTTGGCGCTCCACAGAGGCACTCTCCATTGCCCCACCCGCTCCCCACACACACGTTTTCCTCTTTAAACTGAAGATCTGTCTCCCTTTTACAGCACATCACAGTGGAAATGCAGAGGCCTATCTCCCAAACTTGGCCAGCTCTGTGTGTGTTTTGGTACCACCACAGGCATCATATCCTGGAAGTGTGGTTTTTGTTTGTGTTTTCTTATAGGGAAACTGGGAGAAAACATGATTCTTAAACGCGCTGCATGGGTGAAGGTGCCTGCTGGCTTCTATGTTGGCTCTTACGTCCATGGAGCAACGCACAGTCCCTCACTCCACAACCTGGTGCTGGGGAAGTACGGGGCCCTGGTTGTCTGCGAGACGTCTGAGTGCAAGGCGAACCTGGAAGACCTGGGCCGCCGCCTCGGGCAGCACGTGGTAGGCATGGCCCCTCTGTCTGTCGGCTCCCTGGACGACGAGCCTGGGGGAGAGGCAGAAACCAAGATGCTGTCCCAGCCATACTTGCTGGATCCCTCTATCACGCTGGGACAGTATGTGCAGCCCCAGGGGGTGTCTGTGGTAGACTTCGTGCGGTTCGAATGTGGAGAAGGGGAAGAAGCAGCAGAGGCTGAATAGGTTCCAGAGACTTGTGGGCCAGGAAGAAATGTTTCTTCTTAGTTCTGAACATTACTACAAAAAGAAGTTATTTCCTAAGCTTCTTAAAACTTAGGATTTGTTTTTCATTTGAGTTTATAATGAAATTATACTTCATGGGTAAAATTATGAAATAAAATTGTTATATAATAAAGAGTAGAATCTTTTCCTTGTTTGCGTAATGCTGGGCTTAGCTTTCCGTGTCTTGCTCATGACGAGTTTTAGGAAACAGCAGGTGGGCCTTACTGCCGTGACCGACAGTTGTCTGGGCAGACGGGCAGCAACATGCGCCCGTCAGCAGAGCTTTATCATGGCGTCTCTACAAATTCTGACTCATCCTGTCTTTCTTCTGTGCATGGAGCTCTCTTGTGATGCCTTGGACTGTGCTTCTCTCCTGGAACATCCCAGTTACATTACTCCTGCCACGTGGCATCTTTGGGAATTGTTGACTCAAACTCAGAGTTGTTTGGAAAATGTGGTTCACTTGCTGATGTCTGTGGTGTGCTTTGAAGGCTCTCTGCAGTGGCATACACACTGGTTGTGGCCTCATTACTGAAATTAATAACACATGACCCTGTTTCTCTTTTGGATAATGGGGCGTGGGTGGGTGGGGACTGAGGTTTCCTGGACAGCTGTAAAGCAGATTTTGGCATTCTTGTGCCAGAAACAGGAATTACAATGGTCCCGTTTTCCAGAGAGCTCACTCAGTAGTGCCTGTTTACTCCCCTAGTACTGAGACATTTCTTCCCACAGTACATCAAAAAATTACTACAATAGGCACACTTCTAATGCTGGAAAATACTCCCTTTTGCTCATACAGGTATCTTTATTTGAAGAGTTAAAAAGCTCTGACACATACAGATCTGGGCATTTGGATTTTGGCTTTGGAATATACATGTGATTCACTTCAGTGATTTGTAGGTTAAATAGGTTTTGGAAATACCATTCTTTCAAATTGAAAACTTAGGTTTTTGCCCTAATATTAAACACTTTAAACTTAGTGTGTTTTTGTTGTTATTGCTGTTTTTATGTTTTTTTTTAAATCCTCACTCAAGGATATGTAAACTTTTCTTTTTTGTCCTCTTACTTTTGACTTCTCTAGATTCATGTAGTTTTCATGAGCTTTCTGCTAAGGCTTTAGCCAGAAAGCCACAAAAATCAAAATGGATAATTAGTGTTTTAGGTGTATAAAATATAAGGAATACAGGGCTGAGAAAAATGGAGAACATGCTGTGATTTCAGACCCTACTTGTCTAAATTAAGCAGCTGAATGTTAGGCAACAATTGGCAGATAAACTCTTTCCCGATATTGGCAACTGTCGACTCTGTCCTGTGGTCTTGGAGTAGGTCCAGGTGCATGCTATCTCGCCTTAGAAAAGCCCCTTCTCTTTCTTCATTTGGAGCTGTTTCCAGCCAGGCAGAGCAGCAAACTGCTTTCGTGTGATTCCAAACACAGAAACAAAGTCCTGTTCAGAGAGGTAGTCCTAAGAGAAAACAGAGTGTCTGGTTAGAAGGAAGACAGGGCACCTAGCACTGCCAACAGAACTGGGGAGAGCGGGGCTCAGAGGAGTTGGTCCTTAAAGGGGGTGTGGAACGAATGTTCAGAAGAGTCTGTGACAGACCTCAGTTACTCGTTAGGGAGTCCCTCGGGTTGTAGGGTCCCGTGTTGGCCTGTGGAAGAACTGACTCCCACAGCCTCACTGCTCTCACAGCCTCACCTGGCACCAGTTTCTTGTCAGAAGGACAGGAAACGGGATGTATGTTATATGTGAATTCTAGACATTAGGTTTTGGCTAAATGGAGAACTAAATTGAGTGACTGTTTTCCTTGCTATATGCCCTTATCTGCCATTTTTATCCAGATATTTTCAAATACAAGATCTCAAGAACATAAAATGCTACCATTTATTTATTGATGTTTAATGAATATTTTCTTTCCAAGTAAAATTATTAAGATATAACTTCTGTTTTCAAGAAAGTTGTAGTTCAGTACTCAAGAGTTGGTTAGATAAGACGTTGTAGAAAATCTAGAGACCTTTTCCAAATCAAATTCTCTAAAGGGAGAATACCATTCATTCAACGTGAATATGTTAATTCATTCAACCAAAATTTAAGAAGTGCCTGTGATCTGCCAGGCACTGTGTTAGGAGGTGAAAAGCTGAGAGTATGGTAGTGAACAAGACAGATCAAGTCCTTGCTCTTAAGGACATTACTAGAGGGAAAGGGAATGACAGACGACAAACACGGATAAGGGGGAGGGTGGATGGGGAGCGGTGCGGGAAGCAGCGTTAGGTAGGGTGGTCAGGGAAGTCTTTCCTGGGAAGGAGACCTTGGAGCTGAGACCTGAATCACGAGGAGGTGTTGGCTCTGTTGGGGTTTTCCAGCTGGAGCAGTAGGAAGTGTGAAGGCTCAAAGGCCCACACGAGCGAGCACGTTGGAGGAAAGGCAGCCACTGGCTGAGGGGGGCTGGTGAAGAGGGCAGTGGTGTATGAGACGGAGGGGCCGGTGTCAGACTGGGGAGGGCCTCGGAGGCCATGGAGAGGACTTTGGATTCTTCTCTAAGTGCAGTAGGAAGCCATTCAAGGTGTTTCAAATACAAGTGTCATCTGTTTTAAAACCCCATTGGTGGTTATGTGGGGAACAGATTACAGGGGTGGTGTGGAGACCAGGTGGAGGACTGTTGCAGTAGCCCGTGATGGCCGGACCAGACTGACAGTAGAGGGATGGAGAGGAGTGGATGGAGAGAAGTGGACGGAGGCCAGCTGATGGGTCAATGTAGGGGGTGAGGAGAAAATATCAGGGGGGAGCCCTGGGTGTTTGGCTTGAGCTACTGGGCAGCTCAGGTGTCTGCTGAGTGCTTACGATGCTCCAGAATTGCCCTGGGCCACACACTGAGACAGCTGCTTTACTCACAGAGAGCTCCACTTCCGTCCGACATAGTTCCTTCAGCTACTCACTTCCTTTTTGGCAGGGTCCACATCCTCGGGCAACTCTTGATTCTGACTTTTCAATAGAACTTCTACAGGGTAACAGTTTATCTCAGAATTCAGGGAGAGAGCTGTATTCCTCATGTCCTAGGTAAGATAAGATAAAAACTGTTCAGGTCTCTGCATTTGAAGTTCTGTGTATATAATATTAAAATTTTGGTTTATACCACTTTACCTTTTGTAATTATCTTTTAGAACAATTGTTCCCAAACCTGGCTGCATGTCAGAGTCATCTGGGAATCTAAAATACTCAGATTTTGCGGCCCTTGGGAAAGCCGACCGTGTGTGTCTAAGGCAGATCCGGCAGAGCCAGTTTGGCATAAATGCTGTGCTTAAATCTTATTCAAATACTGTGATCACATCCCTTCTCCTGGCACTTCCCTTAGGCTTTACATTTCCAGCCTTTACGTGACTTTAAATTGACATCATACTTTTTCTCAATACATTTTAAAGATCCTACATCACCATTAACTTTGGAATCTTGAGTTTGTAGAGCGCAAAGGACAAAATTGCCACTTGGTTTGGACAGCTGGTACCATGCACTCATCTCGAGGTTCAATAGCTGTCGAATTCCTGGCCAGCAGCTCTACTTCTTGTGGCCACTGAAACAGGGGTGATGACCTGAATTTCTATGGACTCCACTGTCAGAAACTAATGCACATTATCATTTGGGTTAGAAACTTATTACTTCTGAAAAAGGCTGCCAGTAAATTGAATCTGTCCTGAATGACAGAGAGAGTTGAATAATAAAATTAGTTTTTTGGGGTGTGTGTGTGTCAAAACAGCAAGTCTGTTCTGAATTCTGGAGGGCAGTAAAGTGGGCTCTGAGACCTGCTTTTCTTCTGGTTGAAACAACCTTCATTTCAGAATGGACCACTACAGTGACACTAAGAAGGACATGAAGGGGTTTCACCCATGCAGCATCGGCTTCATCCACTCTTTCTCTTGGGCTCTGGTTGCCTGTGTGACTTGCTCCTCTAAGAAACTCACAGCAGTGATTCTTGTGATAGCAGCAGCGTCTCCCAGCTCTTCTTTTAACTGTTCATATGATTTCCCTGCCTGGAAAGAAGAGACAGAAAACATAAGGTGAGGTGCTGCCCATGCACCTGAGGCCTAGTGGTATTCCTCATGTCCTAGTGTGCCGTCTCAGGTCATCTGTACCCTCGAGAAAAGCCAAAACACTAGGAATCACGGGACATTTCAGGGATAAGCACAGAGGAAAATCTCCCTTCCGTGCCCATGCAGGATTGGAAAGCACGTAAACAATATGCTGCTTTGCCTGTAGCCCCTCAGTCCTCCCTACAAGACTTAAGACAGAGCAGTTGAGTAGGAGTCAGAAAATTGGCTTAATTGTGACTTTAGACAGATAACTTCTATAAGCTTCTTCATCTGTCACATGGGAAGCAGTGTTCATCCTAGCTATGAGGACGGTGGTAACGCTAGAAAGGTGTGTGTGGGTGTACTTTCCAAACATCATCACCCGTGCAGGCTGCTGATTCCTGAAACAAGCTGTAACTTCTGTGACGACTTAGTGCTCTGGAGCGTGGGGAGGGGAAGAAAAGTAGAAAGCAGGCAGGGGACAGGGAGTAAGGGGAATGTGGACTTGGATTTACTGAGCCCTCCAGTGCCCGGCCTTCCCGCTGAGCTCCCTGATGGTAAGAACAACTTCCCCACTGGCTGTGTTCTTACGCTCCAAAGATGAGAGTCCCAGGCCAAGAACCAGCCTGTGAAGATGGGAGGCTCGAACCCCTGTTTAATGATCAGGATCGGTGTATCGGGGTCTCGGCCACCGGGGTGCGTGTGCAGGTACTCCTGGGCTGTAGCAAGGGCCCTCCGCTTCTCTGTGGCATTGGCTTCAGCCCCAATCCACAAGAACACCTGTTGTGGGCGAGAGTGAATATTCATTAATGTGCTCTTAACAGGCACTATGTACCAGACAATAAACACTGCCCTCTAACCCCTCAGCAATTCACAGACTCAGCAGAGGAAGCTGTGATCAGAATCATCTTGAGGTTTTAATTGCCACGTGTATCTCCCATGCCTGCATCTCCAGCCCTGAGCTCTTTCTCTGAACTTCAACTTCCTGAATCCACCTTCTTCCAAAACACCTCCTCTTGGCTGTCTTCAAGCAACTCAAATATTAACACCCCAAAATGTAGCTCTTTTCTAAATGGTGTCTGTCTTCATTTTTGATGAATGGCGCCCACCCAGTCATTCCTGAGGCGATAACCAGGGAGTCGCTGTAGGTGCCGCCCACATCCAGTGAGTTACCACGGCCGGCCAGTCTGCCTCCTGTGCCTTCACCAGACCTGTCACTGCCCCTCCGTCCTTACTCCAGCGCCCTAGGCAGGCCCGCCCGGCTCCTCTTGTTCCCACCCCACCACTCCTCTCCTACTCTTGCTGGAAGGCTCAACCTAAAGCGCAGTCTGACCTTGTCACTTACCTGCCTAAACTCAGTAGCTTCTCAGGATAAATATCAAACTTCTTCACAGGGTAGGTAAGGTCCATGCTTCCTTCTTCAGCCCATCTCTAGGGTTTTAACTCTACCTTATGTTCTGATAATGTTATTTGTAGTTCCTTGTATACTAGACTATTTTGTAACTTGCTTTTCCTTGTGCTATTTCCTTTGCACGGAACGCTCTCTTTACCTGATGAGTGTCTAGTAATTACCCTCTGAGAGTCAGCCTCGGAGCCGTCTTCTTCAGGAAGTCGCCCCTGAGCCGCTCAGCTGTGCTCCCTTGGCACCTTGGTGTGTACCTCCGTCATAATAAAGTGATGCGTCTGTGTTCCCCCTCCCTCCATCAACCTGTGACGTCTCGGAGTGGGGTGGCACTCTTCACCTTGGTGGCCGCACGCCTAGCGCAGCGACCACAACAGGAGGTGCTGAATGTGTTTGCTGAGCTGAATGGAAGACGGATGTCGGGAGGGGTTGCCTTGAAGGTATCCCCTTTTCACCCCTTTGGACCTAAAAGGCCCATATCTCTGGGTGTGGCCCCGACTGCTGTTGATCCTGAGACAAAGAAGTGCCTGGTGATAGGATGACCTGATTTTCCCAGAGCGAGGTGGGAAAATTCCAGGGTGGTGTGTTTTAAACAGCATTCTGTTCTCCAGCCCTGGCAAAAAGCAGGCTTTTTCGCTGATCGCCACTGACCATTGTTTGATTGACTTGGGTTTCCTTGGGTTTATCTTGTCAGGAGAGTTACATAAAAATAATCACAACTCTGAGGATCTTGGTCATTTGTTCTAAGCACTCTGGCTGTGTCTTACCTGGTCCCAGGTATCCAGGAGCATCACATCGTCTGGGTTCAGGTCATCCTGGGTAAAGTCTGTGATCTCAGTGACAGTGAAACGGCCGGTCTTATTGGAACATTCAAAGAGACGGGACTGGACATCTAGGATTTCCTGCTGTAGTCTGCAATATAGTCCATTTGGAGGAATTGAGCTGCTTAGAAATCGTGTGCAGTTCACAAGTGTGGAAGGCAGGGGGAGCCGGGAGGAGGGGATGCTGTGTTCCCATACCTTTTGTTACTGGCATAGGGAGTTTTCCCTCCTAGCAGGTCCCAGAACTCTGGGGGCTCCTGGCCCTCAGCCACAGTGTCCTCGGTGCCATTACAGAGAAGCCTGGCCAGTTCCTTAGCCATGGCCCGCTCATCCCCGCTAGAGCCCTGAGAGTAGGGTGAGGAGAACACAGGTGTTAGCCGCACGTGACCGCGTTGATGTGGGGAAAAAGCTGCTGAGGCTAATCACTTCGGGTAGCCAGGGTCAGCTGCCAAGCCATAGTACCTTCTGCTGGGGAACAGGCTTGTTCTAGTGCTGGGAAGGTTGTGGGGCGGGGGGGGCAGTGTGGTGGCAAAGAACAGCACTGGACTCCAACTCACGATGCGTGTTGACAAGGGGCGCCTTTGTTTTGGTTGCAATTGAAGTTTTAGCACCTACTTTTAATTTTTTTAAAAGAAAAGTGTAAAGTTATTTTTTAAATTACAAGAAAATTCATTCTTTTTGGCATACAGTTCTATGAGTCTTGACATAGAATCAGGTTACCACCACCACAAAGAATCAGAACAGTCCCCTCACCCCGCAAAAAATTCGCCCAGGCTATGCACTTCCAAATCCTTAACCTCTGGCACCCACTGCTCTGTCTTCGTCACAACAGTTTTGCCTTTTCCAGGAAGTCATAATGGAATCGTATACTATGTGGCCTGGGGATCTGGCTTCTTCCACCTAGCGCCCGCCATGTAGCTGCGGATATGACCAACTGTTCTTTGTGTTGCCGAGTCGTGTTCCACTGTGTGGCTGTCACACTGTATTTGTCCACTCTTCAGCTGAGCTTCTTCCAGTGTTTGTGCTATGTGCTATAAGCATGTGTATCCAGGTTTTTGTGTGAAGACAGTTTTTTATTTCACGCAGGAAAATGCCCAGGCGTGGGACCATTGGATCATGTGGTAAGTGCACGTTTTATAAGAAGCATAGTTTTTCCAAGGCCATATTCGCATTCCCACCAGCAGCGTGAGAGCGCCTGTTGCTCCGCATCCTCATGTGCACTTGATACCATCAGTTTTCTCAGCTGTTCTAGTGAGTGTGCATCTCACTGGGTTTCACTTACATTTCCCTAGTGACTAATGATGTGGAGCATCTTTTCCTGTTTAATTCTCTTTTGTAAAACAATTAAGTGCTTTTTAATGCAGATGCAGTCTGAATTGACAAAATTGTATTTTTAGTGTTTTTGTTCAGTGGTAATGCTTGTCCTGTTAGAACCCACCAAATTGGTGTGGGAAGATTGCCTTACTCAGCCCCTGTCCATGTAGAAGTTCAGGGTGTATCTCTGGGGTATGAGTGAGCAGAGCTGTCGTTGACTTTAATTGGAGGCCTAGTTGTAGGGAAGTCACAGCCCTTTTGAAGATCCAGCCCACTCTAGGCTGCCTGGAGGGTGGTGCAGGGCCACCATGAGCACGGGGCCCTGCCGTCTTACCTTGCCATACCACAGGTAGTGCTCTGCCTGGGTCCGCAGCAGAAAGACGTCATTGGAGTTCAGGGAGGAGGCTAAGGCTGAAACCTCTACTGCCTTGGTGTTAGATTTCTCATTTCCTTGAATCTGGAAGAGCCTTACTGGAGGTTCAGGCTCTGCATTTCCCTTCCGGGAAGTCCCACCCTGGAGAGAACGAGAAGCATAGACTGGATTTAAGGTGCACCACGTGAGCAGGGCGCTGGGCTGGCTGTTGTGGAGATGATGTCAGATGCATCCCTTGAAGAGCTTGTAGGCCAGGGGTGTCCAACTTATTTTTAACGGGGGCCATGTCCGCCTCAAAGCTGCCTTCAAAGGGCCGAATGTAATTTTAGGACTGTGTAAATGTAACCACCCTTAACTAGGTACAAGGAGCTTGGCACTGCTGCCAGGTAGAAGCAAGGTGCCTTGTCAGATAAAACAAGGTGGAGGGCTGGGTTCGGCCCGTGGGCCTTGTGTTTGCCACCCGTGTTGTAGGCTGACTGGCAGCGGTCAGGTGAGCTAGAGTTATGGTGTCGGTAATGTTAGCTTTCATTCTGAGACCTCTGCTCTATGCCAGACTTTGTGGCTGGTGCCTGTGTACATCATTTCATTGGTCCTCCAAGTTACTATGACGGTATTATCCCATAGTGCAGGTGGGGAAACTGAGGCTTAGAAACCTGGCTAATAAATGGCAAGAGTAGGACTTGACCGCAGACTTGTGTGTATCAAGCACATCGTGCATTTTTTGCAGCGCTTCAGCTAGGGCTTCCGGGGAGAAGTGGGACTTGAATCTGAAGGGGCCCACGTGCTGAGGGAGGCGGGCAGGCCATGATGTAGCACGTGTGAGCGCTAGTGAGGAGACCCACCTGATGAGTGGGGTGTGTAGCCTGGGGAGCTGAGGGTGGTGCACCTGCACAGGTAATATGGCTCAGATTGTGAAAGGCCTTGAGCATTAATTAGGCAGTGGTTTGGACTTGAAGTCCTGGGCAGTTGGGGTTCACTTTAGTGTCTTAGATTAACCCCTTGTCCATGTCTACCCCAAGGCCTGCTCCCCCTCCCCCTCCACCGTAGCCCCTGATGGCTGGCTTAGTTCTGAGCGTTCTGGCTCACGGTGTAACTTTATCTGAGGGTTCTCACCTCAAAAATAACCAGCTTTCCTTTGAAGATGGCCATGAAGTGGCGTGGTTCCTTCCCCATGGTAACCCGAACCTGCACAGGGGCCCCGTCCAACTTCTGATCCACCTCCACCGCCTGGTATGCCGAGGCTGCCAGCTCGTCCTGTGAGGCGTGGCGGCCCTGCGGTGGCGACAGGAGGAATGGGCCCTGCTGCCCCTGTCCCAGCTCTGTGGCCAGAGGAAGCCCCCTCTCTGAAAGCTGAGGGCCTGCCCCGGGCCTACCTGCCAGATGTACAGGATGTAACGCAGCTTCCCGTAAACCTCATATGTGTAGAGAGCCAGGTAGCAGTCTCCCCCATAAAAGAAGCCATACCACTCCTGCTCCACGGGAACCAGCTCCAGGTTTTCAATTCTCCAGACCTGGGCATAGAAGGAGACACAGTTCCCCAGTGCTGGGGGTCCTATTTGAAGAGACAGCTGCCTGTGGGAACGGGGTCGGGTGGGGTCATGCTTAGCAGAGAATCCTCAAGTGAGGCACTAAAGTCTATCCTCTCAAAGTCCTCTGCCCACTTTGGTGCCCCTTTCCCAGTGGTAAGGGCTTATCACATCACATTTGCATAATTTGAATCTGTAGGAGAACTGGATTGTCCCTGGTGGGGTGCCTCCCCATCTCAGCTCGGAGGTGATTTGAATAGACCTGCCAGGTGAGGTATTGACAGCTCACTGGGGTTTCTGCCTTTCACTTCCCTGAAGAATCATGGGAAAACTGCAGACCAGGACACCTCCTGGTGAACACTCCTAGGCACTGGAGATGAAGGTGAAAGCAAAGCAGACCCAGGGTCCCCGGCCCCCTCCTCTACCGCAGGACAGCCAGGAGGGCCAGTGCTGCCTGTCGGCCCTGAGATGGGGGTCGTGAGGCTCACCTCAACTTTTCCATCGCCATTATCCACCATTCTTTCCTGGGCAGCTACCTCTGGTTTGGTGTGCAGCAGAGTCACATCAAATTTATCCTGGAAAACTTTAGCTGCTCGAGAAGCCGTTGGGAGAAGCCAAGTGAGTGGCAAGCATCCATGCCTGCCTTTCCAGAGCCCCAGCAGTGAGAAGACACTTCGGGGCAATCTTACCGATTTTACCAATGCTGAATGTTTTCCCCAGGCCTGTGGTCTGCTCCTTCACGGTCCACTTCTGAAACAGCTGCTTGAACATGGCCGACTCAGCGCCATCGTTGACCGTCTCCACGTTGGTGCTGCTGGGGTAGCCCTTCAACTTGATGAAGTTCTGTGGACAACGCCCCAGCCCCGAAAGGCAGGTCAGTCAGGGAATGCTCCGAGTTCTTTGCTTGGCTGGTGAGTCAGCCCTTTGAAGTCAGTTGGTAGGATTGCTCCCTTGCTCCCTTTTGGGACTGAGTCAAATTCTGACTCACTTCTGTCTAGGGACAAACTTACCTGACTCAAGGAAAGGACTGAGCTGAACATTTTCTCATCTCTCTTTTGGCCTGTCATGGTTATTACTAATTTTTTTTCCACAACCCTCTTTACTCTGTTCTTTCAACACTCATGTATTCTGCTGACTTTGTATCACATGCATTTGTCCATTTACTGCTCTGTCGAGTGCGTCCTGCTGGGCTCACCTGCATGGGTCTGCACCATATCACAAACCCTTTGAGGACAGGCCATTAACCTTGATAAGTGGTGTCTGTCCCTTTCACTAATAACATCGACTGCCCTGACTGGTGTGGCTCAGTGGGTTGGGCATCGTCCTGCAATCGGAAAGGTCACCAGTTTGATTCCTGGTCAGGGCACATGTCTGGGTTGTGGGCCCAGTCCCCAGTTGGGGGGCGTGCAACTGATCAATGTTTCTCTCATACACTGATGTTTCCCTCTCTTTCTGCTTTCCCCTCTCTCTAAAAATAAATAAAGTCTTTAAAACATAATAATAGAAACATCTACCAGGAACTTTCTGAATGCTTTACAAATGTTATTTAATCCTGGCAACAACCCCAGGAGATGGTATTAAACCTGGATTTGAATCCCAGTTTGTCTGACACCAAAGTCCATGTATATAGCTGCAATGTTATATGCTCAAATGCCTAGTATAGCTCTCTGAGCACATCTGAAGTATCTGTGACATGATTTTTGGACAGTATTGCACATCTGTAGCTCCTACCAGGGCTGTAGACATAGACATCTGTTTCTCAACTTTTGTGGCTCCTCTTCCTTTCCACACGTAGATCTTGGACCCACTCTGGTCCAGGATGTAGCAGTCCTGAAGCAGGCAGGGATGAGGTACTTACACTTTGCTCAGGGCCTGCCTCTGAAGCCAGGTCTGATCAGCCCATGCCAAGTACACCCAAGCTCTACTCACATCGTGGTTCAGTAAATCCTGGACCAGAGGCCTCTTTGCTACCTCGCTGACCGCCAGCTGCCCATCTGAGTCCGAGACACTGGAAAAGGGAGAGGTTAGCCTGTGCCTTCTCTTCTGCAAAGCATTTCATAGTCATTTGGTATTTTCCTGGCTTCATTTTAGTATGGAGTTTCTGTGTGGAGCTTGGCTTCCTGTGATAGGCGTGGCTTGAATGCAGACAGGAATGTGAGGGACTCTGTTCTCTAGAGGAGACTTTTGTGTTTCTCTCCAAACATTACCCCACCCACATCCCTGGGCATGGACAGATCCAAGTAGAGGAACAGTTTCCCCAAGAGACCAGGAAGAGTTGCTGACAAGAACAGATGGCAGCTTCATCCTCGAATCAGAACACCAAGCTCTCTCCAGAAGCTGCATTTGAAAATGACTAAAAGAAAGCCAGACTCCTGCACCCAAAATGAGGAGCGAAGCAGAAGTGCCTAGTGTTCTAGGGGACACCTTCGCCCTGCCCTGGCTTCCAACCAGCAGCCAGGTTTACTCACTGATATAACACGATGTTTGATTTCTGCTGCTGATCTATGATCTCATCCGGGACCGCAGGCTGGATAATAGAACGTCGGCCGAGGGTGTCCTGAAGGACCTTCATCAGCTCTGGGCTCGCTGCCTCCTTGTCTCCCTCGATCACGCCGATTTCAGCACGGCCCCCTCGCTCCCTGTCCCGAATATCTTTTGCCAGAAGCATAGCCTGTCGGGGAAAGCCATGCAAACACTCAGCTCCTCTGCCCCTGGCCCTTTCTGCCTTCAGCCTTTGGGAGGAGCAGCCTCCTTCCCAGACCGGAGTTATTCTGATGCTAAGGAGCCCTGGGGGCTGGGGGGCGGGGGAGCGCCACAGACTCACACCCTTAGCCTCTTTCTCAGACAGATTCTACTCCAAGGCAGGGGTCCGCCTTGAATCTCAGGGAACAGCCAGTGAGGAAGGAGGAAGGGAAAGTACTGGAGACAGCCAAGCCCTGCGGCCAGGCCTGGGGGACAGGAGAGAGCGGGCAGACTGGAGAGAGCTGTACCTTTAGGCGCTCCCCGCTGTTGCTCTCTGGGCCATTCCACTGGATGATTACCTTCCCAAGGTCCAGCAAGAAGACATCACCTCGGTTAAAACTGTCCCAGCTCATTTCCACCTGGAGGCAGATATTATTCAGGAGGAATTCTTAGGTACCAGGTGGAGGCCCTGGGCCCAGAACAGAGGGTGGGCAGGACTTACCTCAGTGGCCCTTATGTTTCTCTTCCCCTTCACGTGTAACAGCCGCTTCACGTCGTAGGTGTTGGTCTCCACGTGCTTCATCCCAGAGGCCACACCCCCCTTCTTGTAGCTAAGGGAACATCCGTTTAGTTATTTACTGAGCCCCTGCCTGTGCTAGGTATGGGGAGGCAGGGGTGCATGACACAGACGCAGTCTCTGCCCATGTGGGTGGCGACAGGAAATAAGCGAGGTCAATCTAGATGGTAGTAATTGCTGCCACAGAAGCAGACACAGCGACGGACTTTTTGACAGGGTGGTCAGGGCAGTCTTCTCAGAAGGGGTAGCATTCCAGCAGAGGTAGGAAGAGGGATAGGAGCCAAGAACAAGGAACTGGTGCTCAACACAGAGGGAACACCGGTGGTGAAGACTGACCCATCTCGCGAAGGAGCTTGTTCTGGAAACTGGGGGGGACCGTGTGCAACTGGGAGAGAGGCACACGCCCAGTGGCTGCAGCAGCCGTGTTAGTGATGCCCTGGCCTTCACACGATGTTCGCTAAGCACCATGAATTTAAGCTCTGTCTGCATGTTAGGTATGTATCTAATCTGTTGCTTCCAGCTCCTGCGTGGTCCTCCTTGGTGTCATGGAGTGTCTCCCAACCAGTCTCCCTGCAACAGGCTTCTACACTGCCTGCAGCTTCCACTGCCCCTAGGGATACTGCTGGGAACATTCTGGTTCCTGCACCCTTATGGAGCCGGGACTGTGAAAATTCCTTTGAGTTATACGGCTCCCCCCTCCCCAGAAGTGGGATCTGCCTCAGGGGCAGATTACTCTTTGGAATGCAGTGCCAGCCCTCCCCGCCCCCAGCAAGGCACAAGGGCTCCTATTCCCCACAACCTTGCCAACTCTTGGCACCACCCAGCTCTCAAATTTGTGCTGCTCTAGTAGGTGGAAATGATAGCTTTGTTTTGATTTGCATTTCTTTGATTACTTTCGTCTTATACTTATTGGCCCTTTGGGTTTCCTTTCGGTAAACTGCCGTTTTTGTCCTTGCTCTGTATGTAACCACTCACATGATACCCTGCTTGAAGTAGCCGCGGAAGGTGTCGGACTCGTGGTACTGGACCTCTCGGTGCTGCACGGGGCTGCCCCCCAGGTAGTCGTCCAGCTGTGTGGTGTAGATGGCCGCGCAGCTCTGCTCATCCAGAGAGGAGTCCTTCCCGATCCAGAAGTGGATGTCCTGGGAGAGGAGACCACCCACTCTCCGGGTCTGGGATGCGACCAGAGAGATCAGTCAGGTCGGGGACCAGCTTCCCCTGTGATGCTGGCCCCTCTGGCATGGGAAGAATGCTGCACAGTGTCCTGTGTCCTGTGCTTAGGGGGCTTCCGGCCCTTCTCCCTCTCTGTAGTGGCCCCTGTGCAGACCTGCCCTGTGGCTCTGGCAGCCCCAATACCTCCCCATGTTTGGGAAAAGTTGACAGCCTATTGTCCTCAAAATAAATGGAGAGCAGTGGGGACCTTTTCCAACGTGGGCTGCAGACTTGCCTTGCTGCCCGGCTGCCCCGCACTCCCCCAGCCAGCACAGCGCTGACCTACCCACCTGCGCATCTCTGTCGGCGCTGCTTATGTGGGGTGTTGTTTCCTCAACTAGAATGAGCACTGTGAGGCCAGAAGTGGCTTGTGTGTGTCTGGTCTTCCTCCGCCCCACTTTAAACTGGGGTCTGCCTCTTACCCAGGGAAATGTGCTGCTTATGAGCTACTCATCCAGTTTCAGACAGAGGGCCCCACCCCTACCCTCTGCTGCAAAATTTAAACAGACCCCCACCTAAGAATGGCTTTAAAAAATGTTCAAACTGGCCCTGACCAGTGTGGCTTACTTGGTTGAGTGTGGTCCCTCAAAACAAAAGGTCTCAGGTTCGATTCCCGGTCAGGGCACATGCCTAGGTTGCAGGCCAGGTCCCCAGTTGGGGCACGTGATAGGCAACTGATTGATGTTTCTCTTGCATATCAATGTTTCTCTCCCTCTCTTTTTCTCTCCCTTCTCCTTTCTCTAAAACTAATTTTTTTTTTTTAAATGATCAAACTGGAGGCCTGTCTTGTACACACTGAAGAAGAGTCGAGATGGATACCAGGGGCCTGGTTAGCATCAGTGGCAGATCTCTCAGTGGAACGTGGCTCAAGGGAGAAGCTTGTGGGGATGAGGGTGGGGGTGGGAGGCAGAGCTCACCGAGAGGATGACGTAGCAGTCCCCCTCGTAGAAGTTGCCATGGGCACTCAGGGGCACCAGCGCCAGCTCCATTTTCTGGAAGGACAAGGAATGTGCACAGGCTCCATTCCCTCCCCCCACCCCAAGCCTTCTTTCCTTCTCCATCCTTCGGCAGAGGCAGCAGGGGGGAGGTAGGGAAGATGCCCCCCGCTGATCTTACAGGGTGTGGCAGCGAGCTACAGGGCTCTCGTGGCCATCTTCTGGCTTCTGAGCTCAGCTTGACAGCCCGATCTGCATCCCGGTGCCTGTCCTTACCCTGTCCTCCTCCCTGTGGCCTGGCGTGCCCTGTCCTGCTGCACTGTGAGGAGCCCTGAGAGCCGCCCCAGCCCACTGCAGGGAGAAGAGTTGACTACGAGCTGTCACGAACAACTCCTCCTCCAAGCCGCTGCACCATTGCCTCAGTCACTGTTCGGCTCTGACCACCAGTGCTGGCCCAGGTCTGCGGGAACGGACCGCCAAGATTCTGCGGGGCTTCGGGCGTGAGTGCCAGCAGTGCGAGGGGCTCCACGCCCAGTGTCCCATATTTGGAGTCTGGGTTGGGGTGCTGATTTGTCACCTGCATGTCTGTCTGGTGTCAGGACTATTCCCATAGCCTCTGATGCAGATTTTCATCACTACCTCCAAGTGAGGTAAACTCATAGTCATACTTGTATGGTTTCTATGTAGAATGTGAGAATGTAAAAATGTTGCCCTGAGCGCCAGCCTGCAGAACCAAAAGGTCACCAGTTCGATTCCCAGTCAGGGCAGATGCCTGGGTTGCAGCCAGGTCCCCAGTTGGGGCTTGTGAGAGAGGCAACCACACACAGATGTTTCTTTCCCTTTCTTTCTCCTCCCCTCTTCCTCTCTCTGAAAATAAACTTTAAAAAATGTTAAATATCCCATAACTGTTATACATTTTTTAGTATCTCTTGATTTTTAATAAAATAGAGTGTCCTAGGCCTCTCACAAGCTCTGAGCCACTTGCTAGAGGCGGTGACTCCCCCTTCTGAGTGGAGGGCAGTGGAGTGAGGCTTCACCTCTGGGTTTTATGCAGCAGCCACTCAGCTCAGAGCAGGGGGTGGGGGTGGAGTGGGGGTCCTCACATCTGGCAGGTGGGGCTGCCCAGGCCAGGGTGGTTCTCAGTCATAGATTGCTGGGGCTCAAGGTAAGCCGCGGGGGCTCAGGTCCCGGTGGGAGAAGTGATGAGCTGTGCCCCTGTCTGTGCCGTGCCCCCAAACCTAGTCTAATTTGCAGGAGCCAGAACCGTCTGAGGAAGACAGGTTCTATTTTTCTGTCAGTAGCAGCCAGGAGTATCAGTCTCCTGGGTGGGCCCTGGCCACACCCATCTTTCCAGGGCATTTACTGGAAGTGCAGACTCACTGAGCAGATGGCTGAATAAAGGGCAAGCTTATTTTTCTCAGAGCCCTGCTCTCCAAGGCTAAGAACATTTCCTCCACCTGCCACCCACCTGCTCTGAGCACCCAGCAAAACTCACCGGTAGGGACATGTGCACTTTGCTACCTCCCACTGCCCCTGAACCACAGGCCAGAGACTAATGAGGGCCAGGGGGCTGTCCTGGAGCAGATCTGGGTGATAGGAGTCCGCTCCCAGATTCAGGATGAGGAGGAGGGTGTGCGTCCAGTGCAGCTCACCTCGATTCTCCAGGTGATGATCCCAGGGTCGTTGCCCACAGCCCTGAAGGCGCTGCTCAGAGGCATGGCTCTCGTCGTCGTCCTGGGGCTGAAACACCATAGAGCAGGCAGGGGCTGGGGCCTCGCCCTGCGGCAGACATTCACCCAGCGTTCCTCCTGAGTCACTTACGAACCTCTTGCCAGCCATCCTGCCGTGTCCTGTGGTGCATCCCTATGCTATTTTACAGCAGTGACGGGGGAAATGACTTGTCTGAGGTCACATCGTTGGCCTGGCTAGCTCAAGGGTCCCCACCCGGGAGTTCTGCTTCCCACTTGCCACTTCCCATGTTAAGAGCTCTGGTAACAGCCATGGTTAGTCACCGAAGGGGTGGCAAATATGTTAAGCCCTGGGTCGATTCGCTATATGTTATCTCAATTCTCATAAACTGAGTATATTTTCATTCTTACATTGTAGGGACACAGGTTCTGAGAGGTTAAATAATTTTCCCAGGACCACACACTAGAATGAAATCCATGTCTGATCCTAAAACCTGTGCTTTCAGTCATTTTGATGTTCTGCAGTCCTTTGTAAACTTATCTAAATTCAGCGGTACACGGGGAGAAAAGCTGTATGTCAGAAAAAAATTCTAAGTTGGGTTGCCTTCTCTCATTCTCGTCCCCTCTAACTCTTCCCAGCTCCTCTCCACAGTCAGCTATTTGATCTTTCTTTGGGCTTTTACTTTCCAGACTTTTAAACTACCCTAAAACTCAGACAATCCATCCTGCTTTTGTCTTATGATTAATGTATTTCCTGTGTCTCACAGAAGAAAAGGGAAAGTAAAAGGGCAGGGCTGGGCCTGGAACAAAGGGCGCAGGGGCCCACCGGGGAGGTGGGCGTGGCCTGCCCGGAGCCGAAGCTCTCCTGTCCGCTGGCGCTCAGGCCCCCGGGGAGCCCGCGGCGAGGGGCCTGGCCTTGGGTTGCTGGACGAAGTGGTAAAGAGAAGTCTATGTGAATCCTGCGCCATGTCCATTGAAGGAGTATCCAGGTTCACATAGGGGCTTTGTATAATTAAAATGCATACGTGGTTCTTGCTCTCAAGGAGCTTACCGTCTGATAACAACACGCACGACCCGTGAATGCTCTGAAGAGGCAAGGATAAAGGACAGGTTCAATGGCTCTCACAGGATGAAAACCCATCCAGAAAGGACTGTGAGCTTAAGGGGTGCACGTCTGCCCATTCTTTTCTTGAGCCGTGGTGGGTGAGGCCAGGTTTGGAGATTATGTGCTGTTTAGTATGGACTCTGGCAAAAACAAAAGCTGACTCCTTTTGTCTGCTGCTATGAAAGGACAGCAGAACAGTGAGGCGGAACAGCCACTGTTTGAGGATTTAATTTGATAACTCGCCCCACCCTGTGCTCAGAACTGCCAGGAAATATTTGTTCAGGTTTTCTTTAGACCCTAGATTTCAGTCACTAAAGGCAAATGCTGTTACCAAACTAGAAGGGGACAAGGGCCAGTGAATCCATTCCTTGATGATAGAGAAGTGACAACCTGGCAAAAGCTAAACAAACCCTCATTAATTAGGGCTGAATCTTAGAGGCCAAAAGTAGTCCCACTTGCGAATAGGGACTGAGCCATCAGGAAGATCTGGGTACCCCAAATGCAGGAGAGGGCATGCTCAAAGGGACTTCCTGTCACACTGGAACACCTAGAAAACGTGACCCCACCTGTGACAGCAAATTTCCCTAAAACTAGTCATCCCCTCTCCAAGTTCTTATTAATTCGGCACCCTTTAAGATCACTGTAGAAACCCGTGTGGGGTGGGGTGCAGTTTTGCAATCCCGGGTTGAAAGCCAATGGCCCGTAACTAAGTCTTAGAGAGACAGCAGTATGACTGGATCCCAACAGAAAGCCGGTTTTAACCTCTGCCTTGCCCCATACCATCTTTCTGAGGGGTCTTCTTCATCCCCAGCTTTTAAAAATGTGCCCCAGCCTGGCTGGCGTAGCTCAGTGGATTGAGTGTGGGCTGCGAACCAGTGTCGCAGGTTCGATTCCCAACCAGGGTACATGCCTGGGTTGCAGGCTATAACCCCCAGCAACCGCACATTGATGTTTCTTTCTCTCTCTCTCTCTCTCAATCTCTCTCTCCCTCCCTTCCCTCTCTAAAAATAAATAAAATCTTAAAAAAAAAATGTGCCCCAGCTGTTCAGTGGTCTCTAAAAAGGGCCGTAGCTTCTCAACAGAAAATCTGCAAAACTGGCCACAAACTCCTGGCTCAACTCCTTAAAAGCCTCATCCAAGAAGACAAAGCCAGGGAAATCTCCATCTCCTCTTTCTTTCGTTTCCTCCTTGTTCAGCAGGAGAGCTCCACTGACATGCACCCATAAACCAGGCAGACCTTACCTTGCCTTCTCTCCCACCGCTTCCCAGTTTGCTGGGAAGCAAGCAGCAGCGGTATCGAAGAACCACTCCAAAGCAAGGAGGCTCCAGATCTGCTGCCAGAGCTTAGCGATGGCTGCACAGACACTGGGTTATATTTGCTTGGGTTTGCATCTTAACCACATTTTCCTAGTCCTGGCCAATCATGGCCAACCTAGCCCTGGGCTTGACTTAGGGAAACCAGAGGGAAAGCTTTATCTGTTCCTATTCAAAACAGCAAAACAGGAACAGACTTTCAAAGGCTTTTTTACAAAAAAAAAAAAAAAAAACAAACAAAACCCAACCTCCAGCTCCACGCCCTGATCTAATTGATTTTTAAAAAGTGCATAGCCCATCAATAATGCAGGAAAGAGGGTGGGAGGGTATGAAATTTACCATATTGTGGATATGGATGCATTATGCTGACAGGAGGCAGGGGCTAGAGCTGCCTGCCCAGTGCCTGGGAAGTCCAGGTTGGCAAGCACCTCCAGAAGCTTCTGGGCACGTCTCAGAGGAAGGGTATGTCTAGGAGAGGGGCCAGGAGTATGTTATTAACCTCATCCTGTTTTGCTCCTTCAGACATTAATCCAATCAATATTTGAGTGCCCACTATGTCCCAAGAACCATCCTGGGTTCCATGTTTTGGGGAGCCTGGTTTGGGAACATCAGTGAGGGGCACAGAAGAATGAAGACTCCAAGTCCTTTGGGGCCGCTGGGTCATCCTCAGACGTCAATAGGACACAAAGCATATGCTTATTAAGCACCGGATGGCAATGGAGGTGGTTCCATTGGGGGCCAGGGAAGAGCTAATGCAGCCCAACTTCTTTTAACCTTGAGCAGAAGCCCAGTGCCGAGTCCGCAGCTGCTCTCCCAGCTGTGGTTCTCCAGCTCCACCGTGAAAGGGGTTGTGAGGGGTGAAGGGTGTGCCCAGTAAGTGCCCGAACGAACAGCAGGGTCAGGAGGCAGCACCCATTCCTGGATGGGTTTTTTAAACCCACTTTTATTAATTGTAAGTAATACAAATGCTCCAAAAATATAAACAGACACTTAATGGCGTCCCACATTTCAAGTTTATGAATATAACAAATTTATCAAACCATGAATCTGTAAGCAAGGTAGTCAGAATCCCATAGCCCAGTCACAGTGGGAAGCAGACCCCACCCTCCAAACGGCTTCTTGAAAGGGCCAGAGACACCGACACGGAGGGCGTCACACCAGGGTAACTGCAGGCGAAGAAGCTCATGGGGTTAGGAGAGGGTCTGCTCTGGGGGCAGGCCCTACATGAAAGGGATAGGGTAGCAGGCCAGACCTCTGCCTTCCCTCCCCTGCTTGAATAAAAATATTTGTTGTTAAAAAGAGGGGGAACTAAAATGAAACCCCATTTTACAAAGTGACTGACGTACGACAGTGGTGAAGTAACCAACTGAAGACGTAAAGGAAAGAGGCTCACCTTCCTCAACACTCGCCTGGCTGGGACACGGGACAGGGGACAGCCTCAGGGGGCTGCCCTACTGCACGAGGCCTCAGGCACAGGGCAGGGGCAGGGGCAGCGGCACAGAATGGCACCCGTGTCCCGGGGACTAGATGTTATTAGATTTCCCATGCTTTTTAGCACAAAGGAGCTTTTGGGCCACTGTTAACAGAGGTCAGTTTGTACACTTACAAAATGGTCAAAATCTTTGGGAGGCAGAAGGGAACTAAAGAGAAGGTCCCAGGTTAACTGAAGGCAAATTAATTCAACCTTTATATGGTTAGGGACCCATGGGCCTACAGAGTGTCCCCTCTACAATGTGCAGAGTGAAAACTCTTACCTGACCCTTTCCAAACTGGTCCTGTGTCCAAAGCTCCCCCTATGAGAGGGACACGAACATCAGGCTTTTGATTTAGAAGCCCAATCAGAGAGACACACCATGTCCCTGAAGAGGCACATTAAGGAACTGAACCTGGCGGGTGGGCAGGTTCCTGGCATGGCTTGAATTGGTGCTGACCAGGCATGGTGGCCAATTGCCCCCCAAAGACCAGCCTCAAACAAGAAGGGCTGGTGAGAAACCCTAGAACTAATCCTGAGGTGACCGGCTCCCTCCCCACCTTTCCTTCCTCCGCAAGAGTCTCGCCTGACCCCTCCCAGGAGCATCCTCACTCGCCCCTGACGTGCAGTCAGACTGGAATCAGACAGCAATCGAGGCCAGCTCTGGTCCCCACGGGTGGGCCGTGTGGAGCACTTGGCTTCGTTGCTTCTCTGGGGAAGTGGAAAGCACGTATCTGCTGGGGAACTGTAGGGGGGCAGGCAGAGTTCTGAGGGGAGGGAGGCCTGTAGAGCAGGGGCTTCATGCAGAAGATGCAGGGACACTCCCCCCAGGGTACCCTGGGCTCTGGTCACGAGCCACACTTGGACAAGCATGACAGGAAAGGGGCTGGCACAGGTTCTCCCTTCACTGGGAGGAACACGGAGACCCAAAGGAGAGCAGAAAGGGTCCTTGGAACTGGACCAGCTTACAGACTCTTATTGCTTAGTCAGAAAAGCCTGGCTAGGTCTAGATGGCAGATTTGACCCAAGGGCTAAACAAACCTTAAGGGTGGGTCCTGAGGGTGAAGCCCCTCCCGCAATATTAGGATGGAGGCCCAGATCTGGGTCATAGTAGGAGAAGCCTCCATTTCCTGCAGGAGCCGTGGTTCCCAGCTAGCACCAGAGCCCTCTCCCCCACTGCAGGACCACCCTGTGGGAACCAGGGAATGATGCAGGGGGAAATGACCACATGGGCTTTGGGGACTCTGTTCCATTTCTGTGACACCAAAGGGAAACAGAAAGCCTTACAACCTTGGACAAAGTAGAGAGATGGCACCACAATGTTAGAGAAAAACTCGAGTCATCCAGCTACCAAATCAGAACACCAAGCTGCTGCCCGCCCCCTGACTGGCTTTCTCCAAACAGGTCAGTTCCTCAGGCTGGACCTAGTACGTGCAAACTAAAAAGAACAAGGGATATGAGGGCCGAGAGGGAAGTGTCCTCACACCTGAAACAACGCTCAAATGCTTTGTAACACCCGCCTCCAGGGAAAACAGAGATGGGGACTGGAACTCTCTCCTGCCCCGGAGGGAGGGAGAGGAGAGAGGAGAGAACCCCACCCAGCCCTGGGAAGGGCCACAATTAAGGCAGTGATGCTGAAGTGGGGCCACCTTTTGGGGGCCCCTTGTGCTCCCAATCACAGTAGCACTTCCCCTTTTGTTTTTTATCCTGGGGAAACTTCCATTCTGTGACTCCTTTTTAAAGCATTCATTATTAAGAAACTTTGAAAGCAGGAGACACGCAAAGAGCAGGTACGTGAAGGGCTCATCACACATTGCCAGAGGCAGGAGGCCTGTGCGCAGGCTGGCCAAGTAATGCTAAGGACACCCACCCCCCTCAGCCCAGGAAAAGCTGGAATGCCTCTGAGGTCCTGGAGAGAAAGAGCAACAGCCAGAAAGGATGAAGATGGAGCAGAGAGCTGTGCACAGGCCAGGCCCCAGGGGAAGACACGATAGGAAAGAGCTCTGCCCAAGAAATAGGAAGGGCAGAGAGGGAGCGCCCTTCCCGGACTTTGGAACAAAGTCCTTGCACCAGCACCAGCAGAGAATCCCTGAAGGGTGGACTCACAGATAGTCCCAAGCTCAGCTGATTCACATACAAGCTAAGGGGACACACACATTCACGGCTTCGGGGGGGTTTCCCTCTTCCCTATACCCCCAGCGCCACACACATTCACCTCAAGCCCAGGACTGCAGCTTCGTCAGAAACAAAACAGGCCCAACACTCCATGTTTAGGAAGGGAATTTTAAAACAGAGTCAAAAGAACGGAAATCAGTTATCTGCCCTCTTCCATGGCAGGGAGACCTCCTCCCCCATGGGTTCGAGAATTATGGCTAGGTAGTGAAGAAGGCAGGCCCAGCACCCAAGCCTTGGGGAGACGAAGGAAGGCCCAGGCCAGGCACTCGGCTGGGGGCAAGTGCAGCCCTTGGGCTGCAGGACTTGATGGCCACTGGGGCTACTGCTTCTGGAAACAAGCTCTCATCTTCCAAAATTGCCGTCTGTCTGCAGCAGGTGGCTGGAGAAAGATTTCAAAAGGGAGTGTGCCTGAGGCACCCAAAAGCAGCCTCTGACCCTCCCTTTCTCCTTGGCACAAGCCTTACAACACTGAGGGAAGGCCATGAGTTTGGCGATGGAGCCTGGAAGAGTCTTCGTCCCTACAGAGCACAGTGGCTCTCAGGTGACTGGAGAGGAGATGGACTAACTTGGAGAGAGCCTTGACCTTCCAGGTTCCCCCACCTGAAACACTTATATCCTTGAATGCAGTTCAAGGCAATACTCTCTCGCAGACCTGGGAAACCCAATTCAGGGAGTGGGCAGCTTGGGGTATCACTGGTCTGACATTGGCCCACTCGGCATCTAACCTGTCCTAAAGTTCTTTCCCATCACTTCCATTTCCAGGCCCCCTTTGGTGAGATGCTCCAGCTTCCGCTCCGTCTGTCAGGCTGATCATAAAGGCACAGTGTAGGAAAGTCCCCTACTGGGATGACCGTTGCTTGGAAGCTGGGGACGCTAAGGGGCCCGCAGCTGTCCAAGGCTGGTGTAGACATCCTCTGCTCCGCTCAGCTCCTCAAAGATTGGGATCAGATTCAGCAACTCAGTGTCTGCCATGTCATCAAACCAAGACTGCACAGGCACCTGCGGCAGGAAAAAGAAGGCATCAATCTCCCAAATGCCACTCTTTCTTCCCTTGTCCCAGAGCCCCCAGAGGCTGGCAGGGTCCACCTGGGGTGGTGTGCTTTTCTGGTAAAGTCGAAGGCCCCCTGCCCATGGCCTCTCCCACAGAGGACAGGGCCTCTCCCAGTCCCTTGAAGAGTAGGCATGTCTGGGCCACTCACTGCATTCTCCGGGTGGAAGATGTAAGAAGCAGGCGAGTTGTCCAGGATGAGAGTTTTTCTCAGATCCCTCCCCAGGCGGCTGAGGTCCTTGACATAGCAGCCCTGGTGGAACACACAGGACTCACGGAACAGGCGGGCCCGGAATACCCCACACCTATCCAGCAGATCCGTCACAGGGTCAGCAT